GGCCGGAGGGGGTGATGGAGTGGCTGATGCCGGTGGCGCATAACATGGTGAGGTGGCAGACGGAGAGGAACTTGGAGAAGCAGAAGTTTGAGACGAGGCCAACGGTGTTGTTGATGCAGACGTTGCATTACTCGGATTTGGAGAAGGTGGAGGAGGGCATTGTGGAGGCGTTGGTGGGGTTGAGTTGCATGTTTTGGAACCGGAAAGAATCGTAGGGTTGGTTTTGGTGATGAGAGATGATGATGATGATGGTGATCATGATGATGACGATGGTTTTGGTGTATTTAACTTGATCTTAAAATTTATTTGATTCTTTTTTAATTTCTAGTTCTTGTAAACTAAATGGTGAGCATGCATGTATCACGTAAAATATATGTCTGTAGAATTATGTGTAAAGATCATGAGGTTGTGTCTGTAGAGAGAATGAAATTAATTAAGCACGTATTGTGTATCACTTAATTGGTATGGATAAGGAATTATCAAATTCTAGATAAGGGTTAATTAAGGAGAAATTATTAGGTAAGTTAAAGATTATGATGGTCTTAATCGATTTTCACACAATTTCTGCATGGCATGCATTTAGGTTAATTTTAATGACAATATCTTAATCAATGCACAAGATGCTGGATTTGATATGATGTCCTTGGGCTGGTTGATGGGACAATATTGTGTAGAGGGGGAGGTTGCAAATCATAAACTAAGATACACAGGTTAGTGAATTTTTAACCCAGTCGTAATTGACGAATCAAATATTTGAAGGTTAATCGCGTGTTATTCTTAATAATCAGGCATTTTTTACCTTTTGCTAAGAAAATTTCAAATTACAATCACGGCATCACCATGCAAATGTTACTAAAATGCATTTTTTTTTTTCGGGTTGTAAACTTTCAGCTATTAATTAACTTGGGTGTGTTGTTTATTAAATTCATCAATCCAGTCTCTCACAATTGATTTGATTTTGTTGCTGGCTGGTCTACCTTCTTAAATTGCTCATGCCGCTTCCCTATTATATATTGACTATTGAGTGTCATATTCTATGTATAATAACTCATAATTTTAATGTGTCATCACACTTTAAACATATAGTGATATAAATGGCAATATTCACTACAACAAAATTTATTTTTAATGACAATTATTTAATGGCAATAATTTAATTGCCATCATATGTAAAATATTAATGGCTAATATATAATAGCCACTAAAAATATATTTATATTACACTAAAGTTTACTATTAGCGACAATTATTTAGAAAAAACTTAAGTCCCACATTGATTAGAGATAAGATAATTAAATAGTATATAAGTGAGTAATAACTATCACCTTACAGGTTCATTTTATAGGGTTGACTCCTAATTCACTATTCTAAATTGGTATCAAATCACTCATTGTTACCAACTTCAATAGTGCTATAAAACAATTAGAGACCAACTTTGACCTTATAAATCTCACATCGCTTAAAAGACAACATAATTAAAAAATAAATTAAAAAATATATAAATAAAAGACAACTCTCATCTTACAAATCTCATATCGAGTAGAGATAAAAAAGTATATAAGTTATGAATTTAGAAAATGAAATTATAGGAATATATAAATTATTTAAAGTAAAGGAGACAATTGAAAAAAATAACTTTTAATAGCCTTTAAAATGGCTACTAGAATTGCCACTAAAAAAAATAAGTTTTTCCGACAATTTAGTAGATCTTTACCGGCATTTTATATAAATGCCGGTAATAGTATTAGCGACACTAGATACACCAGCCATTAATTAAATGCTGGTAAAAAAATTATGGTCATTTATATGGCCGCTAAATAATAAATTAATTGCCACAAAAAACTAGTTTTGGTGTTGTGATTTTTTAACGTCTTGCTCGCAATAAGTACGTTAAAAAATGCATTGGTATCGATAAGCATTTCCATTTTCTTAAACCTTTCAATCAGATAACTTCAAATTGCAACAGTACGTGTATCAATTTCTGAACAATATGTCTCTTTGATTTTGTGATCTGAATTTAATAAATATATACAAGAGGGCGGAGGAGTAAGAAATAATAGAAATGCATGCGTTGTCATCAAAATTTTCAATGTTCTTATAATAGAATTCTTAGTTTATCGTGAACCGGATGTTTGGAATATCACAGCATGTCTTGAAATTTGGATTAACCATCTACAAATAAGAGGTCACCCTGATAACAAAATGCAGCAAATGAAGCCTTCCACTCAATGCAAGAAGAGTATTCAGGTGTTGTATTTGGCTTTGTCACCGATTGTTGGCATGTGATATGGGACGCAAAGATCATAAGCCACAAGACATTGGTCAAATGCGGGAGTGGTACGTACTAGGCTTGGAACGACAATTGACATATCCAATATTGGCCCAATAGAAATTTATATTATGGCCGAACTTCAATTAATCTAGATTTTATTTTGCCCTTTGTTTCATTTTATGTCATGACCCTTTAATTAATTATGGGTTTCAGGGGTGTATGCGTGCAAACCCCCAAGACGAAAGGAAAGAGTAATAGATCGGATCAACCTGCTGAAAACAAAATGGTCTCTATGTGACCAGTCATATCCATAATGTCAAATAAATCATTTTTATCTTTGATAAATTTACCATGAGTTATAGTCAGTGATCCTTTTATTCAACTAGCTCAACCATTTTTCAATACTCATAGCATTTTTAGAGATGGGACCCTCAAGGCTTTTATTATTTATTTATATAGATAGATATAGATTTTCTAATTGGTTTTGAATAAAAAATAATAATTTATGAATCTATTGAAATATCGGGCAAATCCATGAAATTAATGTGGTTTTCTCTAATCGGCTTTTGTTGGGATTGATACTTTGGTTGGCAATGCTATTTTTAGTAATAGCTCTAAATCTCCTTATTGCTCCTAACTCTAGTACACCTTGTGATAAATTTGGCCTCTTATCAATAAATTTTGTTTTGCTTAAACAAATGCACAATAAGGACACAAACAACAACATGCAGACCAGTGCCGAGTTCTCATAAATTTGGAAGTATCAAATGATTTTCAAATTTTTTAAATATTTACATATTTGATCTATGTATTAAGAACTTTAAATTGAACGGTTATATCGTTAAAATTTAATGTAGAACATGAGTTATTGAACAAGTCTAGGTAGACTTACTCATGGAGTAAAAGAATCTCTCCTCTCTCTCTCTCTCTTTCTCTCACTACAAGAAAAATGTTGATTTCCGACGGAAAAAAGTAAATTTCTGATGGATTTTGTTTTTTCTGACGGATTTAAATCCGTCGGAAAAAGTAGCGTCGGAAAAAGTAGCGTCGGAAAAAAAATCCGTCGGAAATAATTTAATCTGTCAGAAATTTTTGACAGAAAATTCCGTCAAAAAATTTTCGACGGAAATAACATCGGTGAAACTTTTACTAAGTATTACACTGCTCAATAACTTTATATTAAATGTGAATTTTGTAAATTCAACGGTTAGATTGAAAGTTTTTATCTCTTAGATCATATATACAAAATTTTATATTAATCTAATATGGTTTGATACTTCATTTTTATAAAACAAAATTGACGTAATATATTCATTTCAAAATACACTAAAATATGAATACTTTGATTATCTTCAAGTTTTTGTACAATTTTAACAAAATTTGATATATACCTATAAAGTGATATGAACTTTTAATCTAACGGTTGAATTTACAAAATTCACAATTAATATAAAGTTATTGACTGGTGTAATACATAGTAAAAGTTACACTGGTGTAATTATAACCCCCTCATATATATATATATATATTATATATATA